GTTCTACCGTGGGTATTCAATTACTGTCAGTCCCGCCACCTTTGGTAGGTATGGTCTTCGCGCTTTGCCTGGCATACATCACGATGAAGACGCGAAAGCACGGCTATGCAATCGTTGGATGCGCGACATTGAATGTCATCGGGTACTCCATTTGGCTGGCTTCGAAGAACGTGCAGGCTCGCTACGCTGCCATTTTCATCAACACGGCGGGGGGATACGGGTTTGGAGTCTTGGTGATCAGCTGGTCGTTGGCCAACGCCGCTCCAGACACAGTGCGCAACGTCGCAAATGCAGCGGTTTCTGGAATATCAAACATTGGTGAGTGTCTCGGCCTGGCATGCTGCTACTTTCTGTGACCTAAGCTAACGATGCTTGCCTTACAGGTTCCATTGCGGCTACATGGAGCTACATTAACACGGATGCCAAGACGGGATACCGAACCGGCAACAGTCTGAACACGGCTACGGCGGCTTCAGTGATCGTTGTATCTCTGAGTCTGGTAGCTTACCAGACATGGGAGAACAAAAGGCGCGAACGAGGCGACCGCGACTATCGACTGCGGTTGCCAGAGGACGAGGTTGCTATTCTAGGACATCTTCATCCCAACTTTAGATATATCCATTAGGACGGAGTCATCTTTTGTGATTCTAAATGCACAATGTAATTCGACTAATACTCTGTGACGCTATGTCCATTCTTACCAGATGTCTCGAGTGAATGCAGATCCTTTTATGTTCAACCCCCTGAGCCTCTTATTCATTTTTCAATCTTTGCTTTCTCACTTGGCGCCTTCGATATCTGACATGCCTGTTGCAACCAATGTTATAACCTGGCATGGATCATGGTGTCACTGAGTTTCCGCTGGGATGGCGGGCTCAGTATCCGTATTTGTCAATCAACCGTCCTCTGTCTGCAGAAGCACGACGATTTGATCGGCACGTCTGCCACAGCCAGAGCCAGGTTCAACTGAGGCTTCAAAATCATGGCCTCATCCTTTCGACCCAGCTTCATAAGACACTCATAGAAGCCATGAAGCGCCCACACGTTGTTCGGGTGTCTCTGCGCACGCGGCAATGTCTCATCGATTCCAAGGTCAGCGCTGTAGACAGAGGCTGCCTCCTCAACGCGGCCTTGCTCCAGAAGCAAAGCCCCGAGCGCGTGGCGTGCTGGCTGCATCCAGCCCCAGGGCTCGTCGTATGGCAGAGCGTCATCCCTCGCCACGGAGTTCCGCAGGTGCGCGAAGGCGGCATCATAGTCTCTCTTGCGGTACGCTAGCTCACCGTCGAGCATTGCCTGAGCGATCGCGAGTGTCTCCTGGCAAGTGTTGTTGAAGACCGTCCGCGAGATCGGAACAAGCTTCAGAGCTTCTAGGAACAACAGACGCTCCTGCTCGGCTTCTCCTACGCGTCCCGTCGCAGCAAGGGCGACGCCTTTGGCGTAGTGGGTCATGGCAACTGTAGTGCAGTAGAGCTTAGGGTCGTTTGGAAGCTTCAGGCGAAGGATGTCGTCCCATTTTCCAAAGCGAATGAGTGCGTGCATCCGCATACCCAGGAAGCCTTCAAGCCAGTCAGCCATTGGTGGCGATTTCACTCGCAAAAGGTCCTCGGAGATCGTCGACTCAAGCTCTTCGATTGTCTGGAGGGCGACTCTCGATTGCCCACAAAGCATGGCGGCGTACAGCCTGAAGTGGTAGTCGTGGGACCGATAGAGCGTGTAGAAATTGAGTGGGCCTTCTTTTGCGAGGTACTTAGAGTCGGCACGAATAGCGTCCGAGTTTGAGGCGATAGCGCGCCGATATTGTCCGCAGAGAATGTCCAAGTGAGTAGGCATATGCTCCAAGTGTCCCGCGTCAGGGACGAGGCCACGCAGGTTATCCGCAATTGTGAGCGCGGCTTCTGGGGTGGGTGACATCTCCATTAAGTGAATATACAGATGGAGAAGGCCGGGATGTCGGAGGGAACCCTCAAGCTTGAAGGTACGATCCATCACGTCTTTGATCTCGAGAGTTCTTGCTCCAGGAGTGGGCTTTCCTGTCTTGTAGTTCCACAGCTTCCAAGGTGTAACATTCATCGTGGCATCCACCCAGAGGGCGACCACGTCCAGATCGTGAGGGAAAGCTTTGAGCACTTCATCCATCGCAAGAGCGTAGTCCTCGTTCCACTTCGAGCAGTCCTCTAGGGGCTTTTCTTGAGGGTATCGGCAGATCAGTGCATCGATGAGAGCGACTTCGACAGGCGATGCTTTAGCAAGATGAGCCTTCGCCTGCATGATGGTATGATGTGCCCGCTTCGTCGTGATAGCCAGGTCCTCGCCGTCAAACACCTTCCATGGTTTGTTGTAGTTAGGGCCGAGGACGAAGGCGAGTCCCCAATACGCCATCGCGCAAAAGGGGTCATAGTTGATAGCCCGTTCGAAACATCGTGCAGACTCGTCATGGTTGAATGCGTACGCCCACGTTAGGCCGCGACTGGCCCAGAGCTGGGCATCTTTGCTGGTACTGCTGACAACTCGACCGAAGGATCCAAGGTTGTAATAACCGTCGGTGAGAGAAATGACTGCTGAAGAAGTGCCCTTGCCTCTCATTTTGGAGATGTCTGGCGCTAACACGGATGAGAGTGATCTTCCAGTGTGGTGGTGTTGGGCGATCCGGGGTGAGTGTTGGGGGGAAGGGATGACAGGGCGAGAGTCAATTGGCCGAGACGCCCGCAAGTCAATGATGTATTTTAGGCCAATTTAGTCGACATTGTACATCCGGACTATCGTTTGGCCGTTATGCTCCCCCTCATTCTACTAGTTCCACATGGCTGAACCTAAATGGACTTGCCCCGGAAACATCGCTGAAACCTAGGTAAGTCAAAGCATGGATTTGTTGAGCGTTCTCGTCCGAACTACTCTGTTGATGCGTTGTCAAATGGACGACGTGGCACGAGCGGCAATCACGAGGCCGTTAAATCCCATCAGCTGGCTTCGTGCTGAGCCATCGCGTTTTCCTGCATGGCGTTCTTCGCTCGTTCCAGAATGTCCATGAACTGCCTGCTGTCGGTGCTTTCCTCCCAAGGGACCGGGGCAGTCGGGAACATGGTGGAGCCCGATTGCGGACTTCTGGGCCGACCCGAAGCGGAGAGTGGATCCCGTACGATGCAATTTCCTTGGAAGGCCTCTAAAAGCACTAAAATCCCATGCTCGCTTCCTGGATGTGCTAGATCGAGGTCTGAATGCCTTAATTTTCCCGCAGTAACCTAATCGAATCAAAGCAAAACATTCTAACGTGACGTACACATCTAAATTTGCAGCAACCTTAGCAAATTCAGGTGGACCGACAGTGGCCCAGATCCGTAACACGTGAAGGAGATCTCATGAATGGTGTTTGTGAACAGCTGGAAACTTTGAAAGGTTCAATTAGAAGTTCACCGAATGTTTTAAATTGCTACCTGATGAATATCCTCCTCCTGCGTTCGAAATATGTCAGCAAACAGTTCCTAGCAGACCCCGTACAAACGTCGCTGAGATAGCTGAATGTGACAGTTTACAATACTCATCAAACAAGCTACCCGGAATATTTACCTGCTGTGTAAATTCAATTATTGGAGTATGCTTACGCTATGAAGACAATGATGCTGATCATTTCGAAGCCCATGAATTGAGATTGCGCAATGCAGCTGTAGATAAGTGAGTTGATCTGTCGTGGACTATGAAGCATAAGTTCTCATGAACAGTTATTACTCCAATGAAACTAATCCCAGTTGCATTGTTATAACCAGTGTTCTGTGACACGTGAAGCCTTTCGGGATGATTCGCGCTGGTTAATCGCACCAGACATGCATTTCCAAGCAATGCAAGCATGGGTGAATGCAGTCTTCATGCTCATTGAAGCAGGTCGTCCCATCCCTTAGATATTTTGGGCACTTGATAGAAGGGCCAAGCGTTGAGTCCACACTTTCTGTCCGTTGTGGCTGGCCTTTTATGGCTGCCGGGCGAAAGCTGATGCACCGGCTGTAAGCCGAGACCTGGCGTAAGGACGAAACACCCACGGATCGACATGATCTTTGAATATGTGCTGCTATTCGCCACGTCAATAGCCACAATATCACTGTCATTAGCTGTTCAGAAGAACAGACCCTTGTGGAGCTAGTTTCTGATAAGTGGCGCAATGTGTTTTTGGCTCCATTACCGTTCGTCGTGATGGAGTCTCGTCTGTGACTTTCGCAGGGCAGCCTGCAGCAAATATCTGGCCCCCAAGCTTGGGAGTCTCTACGTCCCCAGACTCAACAGAGGCTTTTGATCAATCGGGTAGAACAGCCGTGTCTCCCCCGCGAACGTGGTGAAACTATTGATCAATCTCCGCCATCTTGGGGCAAACTAAGCACTAGGCTCTAGCTTCACGCGGGGAACCTCGGCTATAGGTCATTGACTATTCGCCATATGTCGCTGTTTCTTGATACCCGTAGACCTGCAAGTCTTGAGTTTTGTGCCATATCGTGGCTTCTTACCTAGGAAGACAGTAGGGTTACATAGCGGCTTTGGCTTGTCGAAATTTGGTACAGCCTGATGCTACCCTTGACATGAAAACGGTCCGTTTGTATGAGTGTTGAGAAACATGTGAAACCTTGATGCCAATTATGGCTATCACTGTAACATTTACCGCTGGTTGGTTCCACATCCAAGCTCGAACCTCTTACGGCATTATCCCGAGTACTACGAAAGCCTCCCATGCCTCGTCTCCAATGTGGTGCTTGCCACCCAAATTTATTCCATTGGATGGCATTTTGACATTCGTCTAAAGAGCTCTTGGCGGATCTGGGCTCGTCAATATATAAAAAGCTTAGTTGTACTTGGCAAGAACCACTTCGAGCCTAAGCCCCCGAGCCTCACTCCTCGCCGACATTTCAGCAGCTGGCCTGTCATCAAGTGCGGACTTTGTCTTGCGTGTTGGATTTCTTCACATCCTTTCACGAACACGAGAAGGGCTCTTAGCAAATCATCCTGTGTTCTTCTTCAACATGGCAGCAACCGGCAACCAGGACATCAAGTCTCCCGTGCCCGGCGAAACGTCGGCGTTGACTGGAGACGATGGAGATGCCGCTTCCATCCAGCTCAAGGAGACCCAAGAACCAAACCGCATGGCAGAGGCTCAGGCCATGAGCGAAGAGGAGATAGCCGAAGTTGAGAAGAAGCTGAAACGGAAGCTTGATTTTCGTCTTCTCACTGTCGTATGGATCATCTTCATCTTGAACTATCTCGATAGAGTATGTTGAGACTCCCGTGATCACGCCTATCGGCTATAGCGACCGCTAACAGCCTCTTTTCCACAGAAAAACATTGCTGCAGCCAAAGTCGCTGGTATCAAAAACAGTCTGAGGATTGACAACACTCAGTACGGGACGGCGGTTTCGATCTTGTTCGTCGGTTACATCCTCATGTAAATTCCCTCGAACATCTACCTAACCCAGATTCGACCATCTCTTTTCATTCCCGCTTGTGTCGTTGTGTGGGGTGGCATGTCCGCAGCTACGGGTGCCGTCACCAATCTCTCAGGACTTTATGCCATTCGTTTCTTCTTGGGAATCGTCGAGGCAGCCTTTCTCCGTGAGTGGTCCTCATGCAGTGTCAACGGCCTCAGTAATCTCAGGACTGACTCTTTCCACAGCTGGTGCGCTATTCTTGATCTCATCATGGTATAAGAGAGATGAAATGGGCTTCCGCGGAGCTATCTTGTTCTCCGGCAGTCAACTGGGAAGTGCCTTCTCTGGTCTGATTGGTGCGGGAATTCAACATTCTCTCGACGGCGCCAGAGGTCTCGAATCACGGCGTTGGCTATTCATCATTGAGGGTATGTGTCGTAGACTTGCCCAACAAGTTCTCCGAGTAAAAATGCTGATTCGTACAGGGTGCATTACCATCTCCGTTGGAGTCTTCGCCATCTGGTTGCTCCCCGACTGGCCCTCGACTACATCCTGGCTGACTCCCAAGGAGCGAGCTGTCGCTGAATGGCGTCTGGTCAAGGACGCCGGACAGGTTGACGAAGACGATGAGCCATGGTCATGTGGCTTCAAGCTTGCCCTGATGGATTGGAGAATTTACCTCTTCACCTTTCTTTTCATCTGCATCCAGGTAAAAACATGACCCTTTGAAGTCCTAAATCATGAGTTCAAAGTATTGACTCTATATTTTAGGTCTGCTCTGCGGTCGGCAACTTCTTCCCCGATATCGTCGACACCCTTGGATATGGTCGCGTCAAGACTCTTCTTCTAACTGCGCCGCCCTACCTCGTCTCTCTCTGCGTCTCCATCGCCAACAACTACTCGGCCGACCGAACTCACAATGCAAGCTTTCACATCATTTGGCCTATGTGCATTGCCATCATGGGATATATCATTGCCGCGACGACTTTGAGCACGGCGCCCAGATACTTTTCCATGTTCTGCATGACCATTGGCGCAAATGGCACGAACGCGGTGTTGCTGGCCTGGGTACAGAAGACCATGATTAGACCACGCATCAAGCGCGCTTCTGCTGTAGCTATCGTCAATGCTCTTGCCAACACCAGTCAAGTACGTTCAGAACCTGCTTTCAGCAACGCAAACGGTATGCTAACATGAGCCTTTTCAGGTCTGGACTTCTTATCTCTACCCAGACTCCGATGCGCCTCATCACGTACTAGCCATGAGTGTCAACGCTAGCGGCGCTTTCCTCGCTATATGCACGGCCCTTGTCTTGCGGTTCATTCTCCTTCGATACAACAAGCAGCTCGCAAGTGGCCAGAAGACAGTCGCACAGGTCATGAAGGGACAGGCAGTCAAGGCCATTGCAGGTGTGACGTCGGAGGAGAATGAGAGAAGAAAGGAGGCGTTCCGATTTGATGCGTATGCCTCATTAGGGTTGGAGGTGGCGCTTGGGTCATCGAGGGGGAAAGGAGGTCAACATGAAGCCGGTGAGAAGTCCGATGTATCAAGACACAAGGTCGCGGCATTCTCTTCAGCGTCTGTTTCATTTCACAGCAGAGACAACAACGTTTATCCTTCAAGTTACATGTCCAAAGGTCTGCCTTAGCTTCTAGATTGCTACCTTACAGGCTACGAAACGACCTCTACATTCTACTCAACCGTGCCTCAAGCAGTCGTACCCACTTGTGCTTCTGTGACAACACCACCAGTCGTTGTTGGGCCTTGGTAGCCCTCCCTGGCACCAACAAGCCACCATAAACCAACAAAGATGGTGAGACCACCCCAAATCAAACAGGCGTAGTTCATGGTTTGAGCATTGGTCGGAAGAGTGGAAGGGAAACTGTAGATGACAAACCATACCAGCATGTAAGTGCATGCAACGCCGTTGATGAAGAAGCCGACCCATCCGCGCATATGGAAGGGCCCGTAAGCCACTCGCTTTCTTCCTGCCAGGAGATTGGGAAGGATAGCTGCGAGGTAGGAGCTGCTTGAGAGAAGAATGAAGCTGCCGACGAAGGCGTTGAAAGCAGTGGTGCTGCCGACGTAGATGGCACCGAGAACAGTGACCAGCAATGCCGAAGAGACTGTAGACCACATCGGCATTCCCAGCCGAGGGCTAACGTGGCCCATAAGGTCAGCTCGCGGACTCGCACCGTCACGGGCAAGTGCCCAGAGTGTGCGGCCGCAAGTGATGTAGAGTCCCATCAATGTAAGACCGATGCAGATGAGGACCAGCGCGAGCAATCCAGTAGCGCCGGCAGCAGATCCGGTTGCTTGCCGGTAGATTTCGGCGATAGGGTAAGGGGAGCTGAACAGTGCATCGTAGTCGTTGATTGCATACATGATGGCAACCAAGTAGCAGAGGCCAGTTGTGAAGCCGATACTCATTTGCAAGCCGAGGGCGATGGGGACGTTGCGCTGTGGGTTGGGGATCTCTTCCGCCAAATGGGTAGTGGCGTCAACGGCGCCGACACTGAAGGCGCCGTTGAGCATGCCGGCCAGAAACACGAAGCCGTCCGGATATCCGATGTCGGCGGTCCACTCGGTCCAGACAAAGGAAGAGGATGCGTGCGGCGGACGCCCGCCCCGGCCGGGCATGATCGCTACGGTCACAATCGTGATGAAGAAGCCAGCAATGATTGCAAACACGCCGAAGTCGTTGATCCGAGGCAGAGCGCTGTTGGCGAGGCAGACCACTGCACACGCAAGCCAAGTAGCGATTATGTAAACGATGAAGACATGCCATGGCTTCGCCTCAAATCCGTCGTGATTGAGCGCGTACATCTGCACGACCGTGTTGCCGAAGATGGACGCCATACTCGCGGCGCCGAGAATCCAAGCGAGATAGTTCCACCAACCGGCAAAGAACCCGACGATGCGTCCCCATCTCGGGCCAGGAGTGACGGAAGCCCAGTGATAGACACCGGCGGACGAAGGAATAGCGCTCGAGAGCTCGGCGATACTGGCGGCGACGGTCCAGTAGCAGACGGAAACGGCAATGAACTCGTAAAGGACACCGGGCGGGCCGCCGTTGAAGATTGCGACGAGGATGGAGCCCCCGATGGCGGGCCAGACGTTGCCGACGACGAGGCCGACTCCGGCGAGTGAAAGGAGGCTGAAGTTCCGCTCGAGCTCCTGGACGTGTCCGGACGCGTTGATCGGCACATCCTGCTGGTCGACCGATCGCGAAGTGATTGCCTTGTCGATGGCGGCGTCGTCGCCTTGCGATTTCTTCTGGCGACCCATTGTCGGCTCTTGCTGGGAATCAGCTGTACGCCAAGAACTTGGTGATTCCAAAGGGGAGTTGCGGGAGAAATTGGCAGAAGCAACAACAGGACCTGCGTCGTTAGACATTCGGTACACCTGCACCGGCCCGGTGCTGTCTTAGCTCAAGATAATGACAACTTCGGATATAGTCTCTACGTAACGGATCATATCGGTAACCAGGCTTCTATGTCTGCCATATGTCGCCGTCGGCGCTGTTAGCTCAGGGAAAGTGAGGTGCCCGCCGGCGGCCAGCATGCCAATGGTGCGATGGTGCGACTATTTCGCGGGGGAGAGCTCCTTGTTGATACCGGTATCGCCACTAGCTGGCCGAAACCCCTGAAGATACCGGCCCGGGGGAAGGATAATTGGCCATTGCGTCGACGGGATGCTGCTCTCTTGGGCTCAGTAAGCGCATATCCCTCGATAAGGGTCGGCAGGTTGCATCAAGCTGTCTGGATATGGTTAGAATCTTGGCCAAGCTTTTCGGGGGCCAAGCCGGCATTCGTGGTTGTCGCTGATAATGTTACGTACAAGAATATGCGAATCTCGTCCCCCGCAAACTTGATGGAGACGGTTTTAGCGGAATGACAGATTTCCCATCAATCTGCGCTGGTCCGGTCCACTGATTACATGGATAGAAAGAAAATCTTACGCGAGAGTTTGACCGAATTTTGCGGGGGAATTTCAACTCCACGTAGACGCACATTACGCTTAGTCACATACAGTATGGGGTAAATTAGTGAAGACACACCGAATGATCACTACGTTGAACACCCCTTCAAGTGAATAAACGTTGGAAATACTCTATCGAGGCGAGCCTTGAGTGTATGTTTGCCATCAAAATGAGCGAAGACGGGTTTACATACGGCGGCGCAGAGTGTAGAAGGGAAAGACGAGTTGCGGACTCTAGGCTAAAGATGTTTTCCAACGCACCAAAGAGAAAACTTCTCGGAGAAACTAAAAAGGAATTGTTCTGCTTTGTGAAGAAGATTTCATCTTTTAGTATAAAAACATCGGGTCGAGAAGAAACTCTTTTGGAAGCTTACATTTGAGAGTTCGGATATTCGGACAAACGGATGTCCGCTACATCACAACCACCCAAGCCCACACCGCTTCAAGCGTCCATCATTGACTAGGGCGAGTCATCGTTCTCTGTTTACTGAAGGCTATGCCAAGAGTCTTATCTTGGCAACCACAATAGTATCGTCTTCCTAGTCTCAGACAGCTACACGTGTACGTCAGCCACCTGGACGGGAGCATCTAGAGCTTCTGGGCATCCGGGCCCCGCAAGCACCGAGCTCCGAAGACACCTGAATATCGCCCGTATCATATTCGGCCGGTGGGAGGCGGACACTCGGCGCCTTGGCACCTGCAAAGTCCCGAAACCCTAGATTAGATCGACTCTTCGACCGGGGGAGAAACACGGCCGGACAATAATGACCACGGCGTTGAGTGGGTGACAGACTTCCCGTGGCAGCGTCGATCAGTTAGAGTTACATCCCGCAGACTCTAGTCATGAAACTGTCCAAACTTTGATGGACAAGAGGGCTCAAAATGAACGTCACATTATTCACGATACTTGTGGCTGAGTTGGCCCACCATAAATGGGAAAGCTTTCATTCTCGCCCCTTTTGCAGCCCGTTCTAACCATCGTTTGGTCCTATTTGTAGCTATGTGGAGGGTACATTGTTGCTTTTCGCGCGCTTCAGTTCTTCATCCATGTAGCCCTTGAAAAATGCCGAGTCGATGTATTCACGAATCAAAGTCAATTTGGACAGCCCGGCTCGGTCCTGATGCTTTTCCTGCTTGTGGAATTCAGTAAACTCGTCGACAGCAGCATCGTTGACGTCAACGAAGTCCATGAAGAAGACGAGATCGTTGACATATGGTTGATCATGGTGAGACCGGCCATTCGCTTTGGCCTGCAATATCACACGAGGGCCAGCGGCGTAGACCCAGTCAAAGATTTCTATCTGCTACCTGGTCAGCACCAACAACAAGAAAACTATCTCCCGCTTCTGGCAGAGGATGTTAGGATGAGGCTCCATAGGAGACGCAGAAAGGACACACATTGGCCTCTTTGATCAGGCCACGCATCAGTCCGATGAAAACAACATGTTCGTCAGCGCTATTGATGCTGTCTTCCTTTCCCAGTGGAGTCATGCTTGAGGGTGCTAGTTCTACAACTGCTTGTTTGCTCATGCAGTCTCTGTTACCATCAGAATTAAGCAACGAACGATGGATAGTTGCGCAAGTCGCCCGGAGAAATCTTGGTGGGAGCTTTCGGACAAAGAAATGAGAAGAACTCACCGCACCCGCTCGAGTGAGGTCTGATTCAGCTCTGGAATTGCCTTGTTGATCGCATCAACATAATTGAACGCTGAACGGACGTAGATGTTGTCTCGGTCCGCCTTGGTTGCTTCTGAAACACGTGGAGCCATTTTGCCTGAGACTTCGGTGATGGTGCTAGAATTCGAACTTGGAGACCAAGTTGCGGAATTAAGGAAAATGCCGAGAAGCTGGGCGGCAGGCCGTGGGGTGATATTGGTGACGTATTGTCTCCATTGGGCTTCGCCCCCAAACTGGATATTCAACGAATAGGCAACAGGGCGTACAATGTATGCGGTACTTTAGCACTGCTAGATCCACAAATACCACTGTTTCAATCGCAGTATGAGTGATCATCTTCTGGCCGTGCCTCCCCTGAAATGTACGCATAAAGGTCACTAGGAAGTTGCGCACATCTGTCGCGAGGCAGAAACAGCGAGTGAGCGGCGAGAGCTGTGAATTGTCTGTAGGGCATTGACCAGCGAATAGCAGCGTGGGTATCTCCATTCCGATGATATTTACTCAGCAGATCATTTGAAGGATGAAGAACTTAGCCATGTTTATGTCCACAACTCGGAGCAGGGCCCGCTAGTTGACACAAGGCCTACATTCTCCCACCGGCTCCCCTAAGTCCAGAAACATTACAAGCTGAGACACCGAGCATTCAGTCTACCTAATCGCCAATGATCTTTTCTGGCAGTGGCTATGGCCACCGGTGCATGATATGGCAGCTGGCTTGGCCTGGAGGACTCGGTACTTGCCCAGAGTCCGGTCGCCATCGTCCGCTCCAAGATCCAGGTCTCCGAATAGTCATCCAAACTGGTAGTTTGTGGCAATGTGTTCATGCATCTTGGAAAGTTATATATGCAATCACGCCTTGGTGAACATGCTTTTTCTAGGATTTGTAGTTCATCAGAAAAATCACCAAAGGCTCAAAGCTCAGACAACCTGAAGCCAGACGAATCTTACACTTCTGTCGTCATTTATCGGCCAACGTTTACTTCTCTTGCATCCATATTGCGAAAACTTCGGATTCCTCATTTTTCAACCTGTATTTCAGCAGCATCATGGAGTCGCTACTTCCTACAACGATTCACCTCGACACGTCACTCCTTACTTGGGACCATCTCCTTTCGACAATCACTTGGCTCATCGTCGCATCATGTCTTCTTGGAATTTTGACGCAGCTCACCACGAGGAGATTGAAGGTTCCGATACCTTAGGCGGAGGAAATGTCTGATCCGATTGCAAGAAGGCGTGCATACGCTCCTTTATCGAAACAGCTCCTTGACAAGTTTTACGAGCGGGTAAGACGGGATGAGCCTTCGCGAAGAGTTGATGGCAGACTCAGATGCTGATAATCAATCAGTTCAAAAACAAGCCTTACGGGTTGGAAACTATGGATGGTAAGATTTTCAGGGTGAATGATCGTCCGGTGACATTGCGTTGACATTGACAGGAACCAAAATCGTGCTTCCGCTTCAATACCTCGATGAATTGAAAAGCCATCCAGCACTGAGCTTCAAAGCTTCAATTGACAATGTAAGTAATGCCTTGTATCAGAGCAGGAGACATAAACTCACAAACTTATCAGGACGCGCTCTTGCCTTACACCAGTGTCGGAGGAGTCGAGGCTTGGGGCGCCCACCAGATTCTGGCCAAAATGAACCCTACCCTTGGTAAATCTTATTCGTAACCTTCATGTTGAGACTGAGCTGATCAAATCTACAGGAGCCTACGTTCCCGTATTCCATGGCTTAATTCAAGAACACCTTCCGAAACTTGTTGGTCTGCCCGCAGGTATGCCGTATTGAACCGCTTTGACCCTATTAGGTAGGAAACTCACTCACATGACGAGTAGAATGGACTTCCGTAAACCTCAGCGAAGCTCTGCTTGAGATGGTAGCAATCACGTCGGCGAGAATCATGCATAGCGAAGAAGCTGCTCGTAATCCGACGTGGCTCAAGCTCTCAACTTCGTTCGTCCATACCGCCATAGAGTACGGATCAGCCTTGAAGTCCTGGCCGCCTGTTCTCCGACCTGTTGTCGCCTACTTCCTGCCTCAGCGTCTGGAGAAGGAGCAGCAGCTAGCAGGGGGTCGCGAGATCATTGCCAAATCCCTGGCCAGGAAGAAGGCGCTAGGAGGTGCCCCTTTGGAGAACCCACCCACAATGCTAGATCACCTTACTAGCGGGGCACACGCCTCCAAGGCCGATGAACTCGAGCTTCAACTCATTCTTCAGATGACACTAGCTGTTGCCAGTATTCACACCACTTCATCGACCATCACTCAAGTGCTGTACGGCCTGGCTGTTCAGCCAGACCAGGCCGAGGAGCTTCGATTGGAAGTGGTGGAGGTGCTTGAGAAGTCAGGCGGTGTTTTCACAAAACAATCCCTGGCCGAGATGAAGAAGCTTGACAGCTGGATGAAGGAGAGTCTGCGCATGAGCGCGCCAGACATGAGTAAGTTTTCTGGCTTCGATTTCGCTTACATGCAGTTATTATGTTCAAATGTACTGACGGAGTTTAGCCACATTTCAAAGAATGGCAACGAAGCCCTTGACTCTGAAGGACGGCACCTACATTCCTGCCGGGACAGAAATGGAGCTCCCGACCAGCGCCATCAACTACGACCCTGCGATCTATCCTAAACCCGAAAAGTTCGACGGAATGCGTTCATATGGTGAACGCCAGGAGGAAGGTTCGGAACACAAGCATTCTTTCGTCAGTGTCACTCGCACTGAGCTGGGCTGGGGCTTTGGAAGACACGCATGCCCCGGACGTTTCTCGTCCGACGTTGAGATCAAGCTGATGTTTGCCGAATTCCTCCTCAACTACGAGATCAAGAACCCGGAGGGCGAACCACGATTCAAGAATATCGAGTTTGCGACAAACGTCCTCCCAGACCCAACGAAAGAGGTACTGATCCGGGTGCGCCGGTGCTAGCCGATCAACTTCAAGGACTAGAGATTGACTTGACATCTCTCTTCTCTTCCGTGCTGTTTTCATTGTTGAATCATTCAGCCTGTCACTAAATTTTCTTCTAGAATTTGCATTCTACTTGATCTCGTCATGGATCCCTTAATAGAATAGTTCATTGTTAGATTCGTTTTATTTCAACTATATTCTAGAGTACGTCAATGATAGACTAGGAACAAAGCGGTGTTCCTCGTTGTTATACGACAAGTAGCACAACTACCTGTAGCACCACTACCAGCGGTGCGTTTGATACGAAGGGCTACTGGATGATATCTTATCGTTGGCCGCACTTTTGGCTTCTGTGGGGCCGGTCTGCCGCGCCGGCCGACGCCGGCTCATGTTCCCGAGAAACGGCACTCTTCTCAGAATTTGTACCTAGATATTAGGATTGCTGTATTTAAGTCAAGACATATTGGTACACAGCTTCACTTAATTTTGTCCAATTTTCGCAAAGATGAGGCCGCTTCCGAGGGGTATCTACACGCCACTCCCTTGCTTTTTCAAGCAGAACGAGGATCTAGGTTCGCTTCCCCCAGAGCGGACATGTTGTAGTGGAACTCACGCGTAGACAGATCTAGAAAGCTTTGTGAACCACCTCAAATGTATAACCAAACTTTTGATTCTTGTAGTTGCTAGCCCACATAGCTGACAGAAAGCAGTCATAGCACAGGCGGGCACAATACCAGTCATCTCGGGCAGTGCAGGCGAGGCGGTGCATCTGGTTGGTCCCCGAGAGCGTTCAACTGAAACTTGTCTCTGAACTGACCTGAATATTTCTCAAGGATCGTGAAGAGAGAATCGAATTGATAAGGACTGCAAGAGAAACCCTTGATCGCATCGGTTGCTCAGATGTTCCCATCGTTGCCGGCGTTGGGGGCGCCAGTACCCGGGAATCGATTAAGCTAGCTCGCGATGCTGCTGAAGCGGGCGCCGACTATGGCATGGTGATCCCGCCAGGATACTATGCCGGAGCTTTAATCGCCAATCGGGACTCTATTAAGAACTTCTTCATTGACATTGCAGAAGCATCGGAATTACCAATGTGAGACACTGCTGATTTGCTTTGGGATAGAAAAGCGCTGACATGTTTTCGCTCATAGCATTATTTACAACTTTCCAGCTGTCTCAGGCGGGGTCGACATGGATAGCGACCTCGTTGTAGACATCATCAAAGGATCACCAAACATATGCGGCATCAAGCTTACCTGCGCAAACGTGGGAAAACTCACGCGCATTTTGGCAGAGGCGAGTAACCCGGATTTCAAAGCAAAATACCCCAGGCGAACGAAAGACCTCGAGTTCACTGCCATAGACGGCTTCATCGACTTCCTTCTGCCCTCAGTAGCGGTGGGCGCTGGGGGCGCTATCAGCGGATTGCCCAATTTTGCTCCTGTGAGTCGACCGAATGACAAGATATTTTAATAACGAAACGTCTCTCACATTTCACAGAAAGCATGCATTAAGCTGTGGGACCTTTGCCAGTCCCACGACACGGCGAAGGAAGCACTGGAGTTGCAGCAGCTGATCTCGCTGGCCGACCGCGTGCAGCTCAAGATGGGGGTGAGTCCGAGTCACTGGCGGCCTCAAGCAGCACCTCAAACTCAGCAAGATACTGAAAGTCTCTCAGATACATGGAATGAAGAAACTACTGAACATGCAATTCGGGTACAGCGCTGTGTCACGTCGTCCATTGCCCTCAATGTCCGATGACCTTGCCGACAGCATGTTTGCAGACCCCTGCTTGCAGAAGCTGCTGCAATTGGAGGTTACGCTGTAGCAAAAGCCCAAGCGCCTATCTTTCTCCGTGTTTTGCACTAACAGGAGCGGAACCCTAGGCGTCATGATCCCAGCAGTGGGCTTGTCGCATCAACTCCTTGGGTGCTTCTGGCGAATGAGGGGCAATTCATTTAGGTGTTGTTTTGTCGCTAAGAAAAAGGAGCGGCCATGACTGGCCGGGTCTACGTAGATAAGCTTATCAAGATGGAATCCTTCCTATCAAACTCCCACGGACTTTATCATTGTTATCGTTCCTCAGAGACCAAACAATGATTGTTGCTTGGGTCTCCATCCGTAATGACCGTTCGGCCTTCAATGTTTGGTTTCCAGGCTCTCTCTTTTGAAGTGTTGGCCGCTCCTCTGATTTTCGGCGTCTAGCCTGACCCGACGGCATGGAACAATCCCAACCACCAACCCCTGCGCGCCCGCCGCCAGTTGGCCGCTTCTACAAGTCACGAAAGTCACGACCATGCGACTGCTGCCGGAAGAGAAAGGTTGTCTGCGACATGCCCAAAGGCCCACCATGTCATCGGTGCTCCACTCGTAGCTTATCGTGTACATTTGTTCAAGGCCCGGGTGAAAGGAAAAGGAAGAGAGCGTCGTCGCCTGTTGAGGCGGCGATATCGCCTTCAAAGTAAGCTTCAAGGTTGCACTCAGGAACTCATTGACTAAACTGATGGACAGCTTCTGGGGACATGCCCACCAGGACTTTCCCATCCCCGACTTCTTTCACCTCACAGAGAATGATCTCCTGGGCGGCGATATTGAACAACTTCATGATCCCCCATTTCTTGCGGGCAATCGTGTGGCCTCAGCTGGAACCGAGACGCCTTCTCAGAACTCCTCACGCGATAATGACTTTTCTCAAGCCTCTCCGCAGTCAAATCATGGCCTCTATCTGGCACGTGAATCACAAAAAGGGACATTAGATCACCCCGCTACATTGACCGAGAACCGACCTTTACATCGATCCCTTGAAGCAATACCCGGGGCTTTCAGCTTCTTCATAGGCCCCACCGGAGCAGCCGATATTCACCTCCTCAACCGCGAGCAATATGATGACCACGATGTTGCTCGCCCTAGATTGAGCGGCCTTCAATATAGACGCTTGAAACAGGATGCTTCGCAAAAAAGCCCTGTCATATTTGGCATCACAGACCAGAAGCTCTTAGCGAATGCCGAGCCCAAGGTCGAGTGTTCCGTCATTGATGGTGCTTGGGCAGAGCTCTGGAGCATCGTTGATCCCCAGACAGCATGGCGACTCATACAGCTCTATGGCCGCTTTGTGGATCCATGCTTTCCCATCGTCGCCATTCAGCAACTTCCATCATGTCCCGAAGAGCTCAGTAACATGTCTTTGGGACTGCTGGCGGCCTTATGCGCATCAGCCCTGCCATTCATTATGCATGATGAAAGCCTGTATGGCCTACTCCTACATCCCCCCTCAAGCCAGCGGCTATACCGTCTATGTTGGCTGGATATCTCCCAGCAGTTCCATGCCCCTTCTCTGGCAACGTTACAGGCCTGCCTCTTATTTCAACAGAGGCTCCCCACCAATCCTTATCTCTCAGACACCGCTTTCTCTTGGTCTCTTATTTCCAGTGCAGTCGCAGTAGCACAAACCATTGGATTACATCAAGACCCTTCTTGTTGGGAGTCTGTGCCACCTTGGGAACGAAGGCTTCGAAAGCGATTGTGGTGGGCTACGTGGACGATGGAGAAGTGGGCTTCTCTGACAAGAGGGATGCCTAGCCACATCCACCAAGACGACTTTGACGTCCCAGATCTTAGGCTAGAAGATGTGGACGACACCATTTCTTCGTCGGCACACATAAAAGCACACCTCTGCGAGCTAGTGCGGATGACTTGCATCATGTCAGATATCCAACAGACATATTATACGACTCGTGGTATCGGAAGAACAGCGCATGATCTACCACTCTCTTTAGACCTGGCTCGTTCTTCTCGTGCAAGGTTGAAGGAATGGCGTGATAATCTTTCCTCAGGATACCGAACACTCATAGGAAAATCTCAGCTACCGGCAGCTTATGATGCTGGAACACCAACTCAAGACGGCGAAGACGAGATGTACGGTATCGGCGCAGTTTATCTGTGCTATATCATCACCCACATGACACTGTTCCGTGCATTACTCAGGCCCCTTGATCGCTGGCCTACTATTGCGCTGCAATCTCCCAATGAGGCCGAGGGACTGTTTACCGCCGCGAAGGCAGTGATCAAAGGTTCCATTCTTTGCGTCAAAGAGTTTGTAGAGATGCTGGAAAACATGAGTGGATCTCAGTGGAATGGGTTCTGGCACAGCTGGAGTCGGCAAAACTTTGCCATTGGGGGGTCATTCATGGTGCACTTGTTGCATATCACATCAGCATCTAATGCGGTTCGTTTCAGTGTTGGCGATGATGGAGACCTCGGGTTTGATGATGAGGACAAAGAGCTTCGAGCATGGATTACGAGATGGAGAATCGCGACTCGGGCATCTGCAACAGGCGCCGCCGGCGCGAAAGGGTTGGCAAACTTAGGTTTGTTGAGGGTTGAAACAATGCTTGGAAGATTACTGGCTTCTGAGGCGAATACTCTGTAGCAAGTTCATCTACCGAATAGTAGCGAGGAAGCATATCTACCACGGGAATGGATGCTTAAACAAAGTTTGTTGATGTGGAAGTTCAGAATCTGACAAGAACAACTTAAATACGTGTATATGTACGATGTGAAAGACCTATTATCTCTTTTCGGCATATTTAACACAGGTTGAGCAGCATTCTTCCCTCGTCCTTTTGACACTCCCCATCATCTTCCTCAACTTTACTGGGGATCGGTACATTGGCAAGAGGTGTGAGTCGGAAAGCATGTCTACGGGACCCGGCTTGGTAATCAAGTGTCTGAGAGTGCTGAGTGACACGCTGGTCCCAAATGACAACAGTACCTGGTTCATACCGGACGCGACAGCAGAAGTCATGGCCACGGTTAATGTGGTCAAACAGAAATTTCAGAAGGTAGTCTGACTCCTCGTCATCCCAGCCTACAATGCGCTGGGTGTAGGACGAGTTGACAAACAGGTTCTTCTGCCCGGTAACAGGGTGAACGGTCACAACTGGGTGTACCGACTTGGTGATAGGCCGACGGAGTACAGCAGCATCACCGTTGTCGCGAATCTCGCGCTCAATAGGCTT